ATTGCAAAATGACCCGTGCACTATATCAAGTTCCGTACTTTGAACTCACTTGTGCGTTGGCTGTTGGGCTGGCGTTACATATCTTCGCTACACAGTGCTGGCGAGCCCCAAGAAGGGCGAAACAGCTGTCCACTGTTGCGATCCTACTTTATCGGTTCTTGTCATGTTGGTGCCTCGAAACGTTTTTCACGTTGTATCAGCCTTGCAGTCTATTGCTTGTCTTCATACATTCTGTTTAGTACATAGATTACAGATCACCTAATGGGGTAACAACAAAAAAAGTGGCACACAAGGCGTTACATGAGAGTGTCACTGATGTTCTTTAGTCATTTTCAATTTGCTGTATATTTTCATGCACAGTGACAAGTCGATTTCATAATTTCAGGAATTTTTGCACTCAGTAATAAAGGAATCGTCATCTTTTTACCTGGACTGTGTGCCTAGAGTATGACTTATGCCAGTAATCTATGCATTTTGCCAAAAAAAAAGAAAGAAAAAGAAAGAGAAAAATGTAATGCTTGCCAAAGAAGTGTTTTGTCATAATTCGATACACATATATACTAGCTATGCAACAATTTCGAGTGGTATACCATGATATATCCCGCGGGTCTCGGTATTCACTGACACGAGCTTTTAGGAGAGTTTGTAAATACAGTAGCCAGCACCATCAATGCGGCATACGCGCGGCGCATGATGGGAAGATTGGATGTAATACCGTCGAATATACAACGGCTTTCCTGCTTTCTGATTGGCTGTATTTTCTATGGCATGGTATGATAGGGTTTAATTAATCTGCATGGGAGAGAAAGAAATCTTTCCATTATTTTCAAACAACGACCTTTGGACGGGTAAAGAAAGCGTGTAATTTGGCTTCTTCACTGAACCATATTAATTCTACTGATTGCGAGAACCCATGCGCTTTGCGATTGTCATGCTAAAATAATTCACTACAAGCTATCAAAAGTTAGAGAAACTGATCGGATATCGGTATCTGAAGGATGTTGTGTTGATTTAAAACCAAATACACGTGACTACATAAGAGATACAACTGTTTCGACAAAGATTGTCCAAGAAAAGCGTAAACGCGCACGCGACAGTGCCGATTGGTATTATGGGTAGTCACAGTCTGGCGTGGCTTGTTTGAGGTTCACGGTGTTCTCAGCAAGAAGAATAGCTGTGTTCGTCTTGTTTTCTTCTATCATGCTAATCGAAACACCTTGAGTTTCAATCAAGTAGTCGTGAACCGCCATCACCCATAATACCATTGAAATTGTCGCGTGCACTTTTACGCATTGGTAGACAACCTTTCTCGAAAAAGGTGTATATGGCAAAAAGCTGAAAGCATTTTACTCTGGGTGTATGGAATCAGATACCTCGGTCAAAATTAAAATTGTTCCTCTAGGGGCGTCTGATAATATCAACAACCTGAAGAAGTTAAGTTCCCTGTTTAATGGGCGGAAAAGCGTCGCTACTATAGCAGCAGGTACGCAAGTGTTTGCATAAATAAAACAAAAGCCTAAATACCAATTGAATTTTGTCAGTGGAGTTACCATAACGTCATTACTCGGTTCCAGGCTGGCGCGGTAGAGATGCGAGCAGGAATATTCTACCACTTGTTGACTGAGTTTCATTGGTTTTGCCACCTGTCGATACGGGTGACTACAAAAAGTCTCAAAACAAACTCAGAAAATGCAACAAGAGACGCTTATCGGATGAAATGTGAGAAGATGTGTTCTGGACGAGATTTAGATGCTCCAAGATATCAGATCTGAGTGATTTTTTTGTGTTGGTCTGGGAAAATAACGGCAGTATGTATTGAAAGTTTGATAGCGATAAGGTAGGTGTTATTAGCTAATGTCTCGCTTCATGGATCGCACATCTAACTTTATGGGTCATTCTGGAATCGCGCGTTCATTTGTA